GGTTGCCCAGGGCTGTGCCAGGCTGCCCAGGGCAGTGGTGGAGTCCCCACCCCTGGAGGGGTTCCCAAGCTGTGGAGATGTGGGGTGAGGGACACGGGGCAGTGGTGGATTTGGCACTATTAGGTTTACATTAGACTTGAAGATCTTTAAGATCTTTTCCAAACGAAATGATTCTAAGACTCTGTGAGGTCCTGGTGGGGGGGGCCCATGACCTACCTGCTCCTGAGCAGATTTCCTCTGCCCTGGCAGCACGGGGAAGCCTCCTGCCCTCAGGATCTCCAGGGGCCTGACTGCTGCCAGGCTGCAGCTCCAGCATTTGAGGCATCCTGGGGGGGCAGCGTGGCCACGGGGGTCTGCAGAGCTCGGGGAGCCTCCTGGGGTCCTGCTGGCTTTGCACACCCTCCCCCTCGTGTCGACACCACCAGCAGAGCCTCGATTCCTCTGTGTGTGTGCTGGAGCTGTAGAGGCTTTGGGACAGTTCTGTGGCCACAAGCAGATGCTAGAGTTTCCCAGAACTGTTGCTTTTCCTGCTGCCTTCCCCCTTTCCCTCTTCCTTCCTTCCAGGAAGGCCTGTAGCCCTTTTTTTGGGTGCTTCTTGGCCCTGGCTTCTGCCTTGCCATCCCCTCCAGCCTCATTCCATATCTGCCCTTCCATTAGTGCACATTTTGGGCACTGGGGCAGTGGCTGCTGGGCTGGTTGCTGTGCAATGCTGTGGCTTTTCTAATAGACTGGGGGGGAGAGGGAGGGGGAAAGCATCAATGAGTTCTTTGTGATTAAAAGCAGCCCTTTGGTGATTTGTATTGATTAAAGGAACATCTTGACTAAGGTTTTAATGGATCCGTGGAGTTCATATTCTGTGGGGGCAGAACAAGGTGTGTACTTGGTGCAGAGAGCTCTGCTCCAGTGCATACGTTTTGGTGATGATCCCAGAAGAGTGGGCGTTGGAAGGGACCTCTGGAGATTGTCTTGTCCAACCCAAACTGGGCCCAGCCTTTTTGGAAGCAGTGAACTCAGCATCTTCTGTTGCCTCCCTGTGGGCTGTGTCTGGAGGAAGCGATTGGGTGGCTGGGGTGCTGCTTGCCCCCTTGCAGGGTTTCCCTAGCCTGAGCAGGCATCTTGGCTACCAAGAAGGAACCAGGAGCAGTTTGTGCCCTCATCTTCCTGTTAAATGGTTTTGCTGCTTCTTTTTCAGGGTAAATTCACGTTGCTGTGTGATACCAGAACAGATGGCAGCTTCCTGGTGCACCATTTCCTCTCCTTCTACCTCAGAGGTATGTCAGGAGCAGGAGTCTCCAGGGCAAGGGTTTGCTTCTTGGAGGTTCTTCCAGCATAAAGGGTTGCCCAGGGCTGTGCCAGGCTGCCCAGGGCAGTGGTGGAGTCCCCACCCCTGGAGGGGTTCCCAAGCTGTGGAGATGTGGGGTGAGGGACACGGGGCAGTGGGGACCTGGCAGGGCTGGGGGACGGTTGGGCTCCCGGATCTTGCAGGCCTTTTCTAACCCAAATGATTCTGTGTGAGCAGAGGCTGGCTTTGCAGAGTGTGAGGCATCCTTGGGTTAGTGCCAGGCTCTGGGGTCAGGATTTGTGGGTCCCTGTCCTGACTTGTTCTTGGGCTTGCTCTGTGCCTGGGCTGTGCCCGTGCTGGCAGTCACACGGGAGGCTGGCACTGAGGTGTGCACTCTGCTTCCTCCACTAGCTCCAGTGCTTTATAATGAGATTAAAAACATCAGGAACAACTGGCTGGCAGGGAGTAAAGAAGCAAAGAGCCTGGCAAGTTGCCTATTTGCTTTCAGCTAACAGTTTAACCTGTGAGTGACCTACGAGCCCCTGTAGAGCAAGCGCTGGGCTCGGGGACTCCTCTGGCTTTTTGGTGGCAAAGCAGCCCAGTCAATCTGGTACCTATCAGATGTAAAAACCTGCCTTATTTAATGGAGGAGAGTGAAACTGCAGGAAAGGCCCTGGAGAGCAGGTTATGAGTGATGTGAGCAGAGGTCTGTAGCACCCTCCTATGTGCTGCTCAAAACGTTTGGGAGCTTTCAGGGGGTCCGTGAAGGCTCGGCTGGGGGTGCTGACTGTTGTGCTCACACCCAGGCCATAAAGCCAGGTTGTCACAGGCCAGGTTTTCCAAAATCACATTTTAGCGAGGTGCCTTTCTCAGAATTGCCTGTTCTGTGTGCTTTTCCACTCAAGGCTGCTTGCCCTGCAAGAGCCAAAATGGTTTTTTTTGGCACACCGATGTTTTCGGCGGTTCGGGTCACGGTCGGCCGTTGGCCTCCTTGCAAACAGTGCCAGGAGATCCCAGGGCAGGATGCCACGAGACAGAAAAGGGGCCTCCTGCTTCACCTATGTCATCTCTTTCTTTTTCTTTCCCTTTTTAAACTGACTTTACATTTTCCCTAATGTGGAAAGGCTGTAGAAAGGTGCAAGTGGAAAGCCCTGCCGCGAGGGGGTGAGGGGCTGCCTGGACCTGTCTCACTTCAGGCCTTTCTAGACAGATTTGTAGCTGTGATTTATGTGCTTTGACAAGGGCAGCTTGCAAAATGGAAATGTTAACCTGTTTTCTTGCCTCCTCATGCAGCTGGCTGTAAGGTTTGCTTCGTGGCACTGCTCCAGTCCTTCAGTCACTACAGCGTCGTGGCACAGAAGCTGGTGAGTCTCTTGGCATAATAATTACAGCCCCAGGTGGTTTCTTGGGAGTGGAAAGGAATGAGAACAGGGAACAGGAATTGTGTGTGAATGAATATTTCCAGGTCTCGATGGGGAGGTGTCAGGATTGGTGCTCCTGTGGCAGGGAATGGAAAGAACTTCTTGTGGCCTCTTCCAGTGTTCAGGAGGAAGCCAGGCCCAGCCTAAGGTAAAGCCTCTGTTCCTGACTAGTCCTGCTCAGCCACCCTCTTTGGAGGGTTCAAGATCTCACAGCATCCCAGAGGGATGTTTTCTCTTGGGGAATATGGGAATTGCTTTCTTAGGATCCTTGTTTCTGGTTCCCTGCCTCTGGCTCCCCAGTTCTGCCTGTGGAACCTTCCTGAACTCTCCCTACAGTGCTGGGAAAGGCAGGATGAAGATGGTGCACGTGAGATATCTTTGTGTGGTGGGGTCAGTAACAGGTCCTGGCTCTTCTCCTGAAAGACAGACCAATGCAGTTAACAGCAAGCTATAGACTGGTTGGCAAAAGTAGCCCTTGCTGATGAAAGAAAGGAGGATGAGGAAGGAGTTCAAGGATTAGACCTTCACTTGAGGACTTCTGCATGGCTGCAGGTCTGCAGCTCTGCCAGGACTTTCTTTGTTGGGGCTGGACGTGCCCAGCATGTGGCTTTGAGGTTGACCTCATCATGAAGGAGGGCTGAGAGCTGGAATTCTCAGCTTGAGTCGTGGCCTCAGGCAGTTTGTCAGTGTCTCTTCTCCTCCTCCAAAAGGGAGTCAGGGCTGAGGCTGCTTCCCATGCCCTCTCCTGGGCCTTGTGCAAGTGTTGGGGCCCAGCCCGTGGTGTTCTCCAGATCCACACCATGCCTCGTGGGGTGTGTTCAGGAGCTGCTATTGCCACAGAGATGGTTTGGAGATAAGGAGAACAATGGGCTTTTGCCACCCAGGAAGGGAGGGTGAAGCAATTCCTCAGAGCAGAGTCTTGGGGCAGCCTGCAGAAGCCTGTACCCATCCTCACCCTGGGAGCTGCTGGGGAAGAAGCTGCTTTTATCCCATGCAGTGAGATTGTCTTCCCAGGAGCAGCTCCAGGACATCTGAGCCCCCAGATCACAGTGGTGGTTTTTTTTATATCACCTGACAAGATACAGGAGAGGGGATGTGTCCAATGGGGTGTGTAACAGGGACCTGTTTGGTCCTGTTTCAGACAACACCAGGCTGGGTGGGGTGTTGATCTGCTGGAGGGTGGGGGGCTCTGCAGAGGGGTCTGGCCAGGCTGGATCCAGGGGCTGAGGCCAGTGGGATGAGGGTCAACCAGGCCAAGGGCTGGATCCTGCCCTGGGGTCACAGCAACCCCCTGCAAGGCTCCAGGCTGGGGCAGAGGGGCTGGAAAGTGCCCCAGGGAAAGGCCCTGGGGGGGCTGGTGGGCAGCTGGAGATGAGGCAGTGTGTGCCCAGGGGGCCAAGGTGGCCACCAGCATCCTGGCCTGGAGCAGCACTGGTGTGGCCAGCAGGAACTGGGGGTGCTGAGCCTGGAGCAAAGGAGGCTCAGGGGAGACCTTCTGGCTCTGCACAGCTCCTGACAGGAGCCTGGAGCCAGGGGGGGGTCGGGCTCTGCTCCCAAGGGACAAGGGACAGGACAAGAGGCAACAGCCTCAAGTTGCCACAGGGGAGGTTTCAGTTGCCCCTGAGGAACAATTTCTTGCCCTGGAGGGTTGCCCAGGGCTGTGCCAGGCTGCCCAGGGCAGTGGTGGAGTCCCCACCCCTGGAGGGGGTTCCACGCTGTGGACACGGGGCAGTGGGGACCTGGCAGGGCTGGGGGATGTTTTGACTTCAGGAGCTTAAAGGTTTTTATCCAACCCAGACAATGCTGTGACTCCCTGATGCCCTGTGCAGGACTCACTGCAGCAATGACTATTAGCACATTTAGATGAGACTGGATGAAAATTGGCTGTGTTTGCCTGGTTCTGTTTGCCCCATCCTTCCAGGGCTGTTTGCTCTGCAGCATCATGTTTTCCTCTCTCCAGGGAGTCAGCCTGACAGCTGCCAAGGAGAGGGGACAGCTTGTGTTCCTGGAAGGCCTGAAATCCTGCCTTGACCTGTTGTTTGGAGAGGAGGAGGAGCAGTCAGGACAGCCCAGTCCTCTTCAGTTCCTCAGGTGGGTCTGAGCAGTTGGGGGTTCTGCTGGGATCCCAGCACACCACCTTCCCCTCGTGCCCCCAGCACCCACAGCAGCAGCAAGGCCCAGGTTTGTGTCAATACATAACTCCATCTAAGTGGTTTTATTCCTTTTATTAATTGTTATTCTGAGTTTTAGTCTCATCTGAGAGAACAGTGCTGCTTTAACCAGGCCTTTGGTTTTAGTCCTGCTTCACTCTCTCCATGTCCCTGATGATGTAATAGAAAAAAATGCACAGAGGGCTGTTAAACTGGCAGGTAACACCTCTGGGCAAGGGCTGGTGCTCCTGTCCTCTCCTGGCTCTCTGCTGTTCCACACTCAGGCTGGGGTAGGTGGGCCTGTGGTGAGACCCAGGGCAGTACTGAAACCCTGCAGGCTGCTGGGCCCTGGGACTGTGCAGCCCCTCAGGTCTGGGTGGGTGTTGGA